ACTCTAAACATCTGTGGATTATAGCATGCTTTTCCTTGATTAACGTTATCTGGCTTGACTAAAAGAGAATGAGAATCCCTGTCTGGTTTGTTTCTTCCAAAGAATCATGTTTCTTCCTCTCAGTGTTTTATTCAATATGTTTTTTTTGTTATTCATTTTCAATCAACCACATTTTGACACACTTGTATCAGCTAGTCTATTTAAAACTAGATAGATACTTGTGAATAAAAATCATTGGTTCTTACACTCATTTTCCGCAAGCCTTTCCCAAAAAAGAGTTCTTCCCTTATTTGGCCCTCAACCCTCTTATAATGCGCCTGAGTCCTAAATTTCAACAAAAAGTAAAAAAATGGACCAAGAAGAAAAAAAAGAAGGAAAGAATCACTGAGGATACCAGCAAACAGAAAAAAAGGGGATGTAAATCTTACATAATAGGGGGTATCAAATATAACCAAATACACCATTATTTGTTTGACTGGATCCACCCTTTTTTAAACATGTTGGTTATTCATTTAATTTCTAATAGTGGATTTCCTATATTTGATACCCCCTAATTTGGGTGTATGTATGAGTTATGGATTCTGGTGCATCAGTCATGAGTGGTACTGGCTACAGTTGGATGGAGAGTTGAAGCCTTCAGTGGTGCCTCTTTTTGGACCTTTTAGGATTCTCTTGTTGGATGGAATGCCACCATCAGGCAATCCACCAATGACGGGGATTGATGTAAGACTTCTGTTGGACAAACAGCCAACAGCAAGCCTTGATGCAAGACCAATGTCAGAAGATCAGCCAACCACTTGCCTTGACGCAATGCCTACGTTGGAAGGCTTGGGTCGGTCACCCAAATTTTCTTTTGGTCGAGGGTTCGGCTGAGAAAACATTTTACGTCTGCAATGCACCCAGTCGACCGCACCGACCGGCGCGGCTCGGTGGCTTTGATGGGCCGGGCTTAAATGTGACAGCTGGTGGGCGCGCCCGGCCCAATCATGGGGTTTGATGTCAAGTTCCAACTCAAGACCACCCCACAACCTGATACCACAACCCATTCCGCAGAACTATTCATCAAGACTTTCTCAGTTAAACCGATGATGGGGCGTTCGATTCATGAGACAACACGGAGGTCTCCTCACGACATATCCACCGTCTCAGACGAATCAACTCCAGCAGGCCGGGTTGCAGCTCTATCTGAGGTAAGATTTGATGTCATCCTTTTATAACATCAGTGAATCGAAAACCAACAATCTCCTATCTTCACCTTTCAAAGCAAAAACGACAGATCGAAACCGAGCTTCACCAACAGTACGACGTACTTTCCGTTAATTCGATTGACCTCACTTCCCCGTTGACCGATGTGAATGGATTTCCCCGAGACGATGTTCCTGATCTAGCTTCCGTTCGAGTAGCAAGGGCAAGGATTTGCGAATTAAAAAATGACCATCGTGCGATCGTCGACCAATTGGCTCAAACGTTGCCACTGCTTTTGCCCAAGGAGGATCATTCTTCTGCAACCCCTTCAAAGGGCGCGTCAACCAACGGTTCTTCGTCGAGTTCCATGGTACCTTTTGCCCAGATCGACGTGGTCGCACCAGACTCTCCTGCTGAACAAGCCGGACTGAAACTTCACGATCAGATCGTTCGTTTTGGACATCTGAATGCCCAAAACCATGATCGATTACAGGCTCTCGCTAAACTTGTTGCTGAAAGCGAGGACCAAAATATTACTGTTGTGTGCTTTCGATTCGAGGAAGGTAACAAAACTATGATTTCTAAGGAACTCAAACCACATTCTGGTTGGGGCGGAAGGGGACTTCTAGGGTTGAGTGGTTTCCTCCTTTTTCCTGTAATGTTCACGCCCACTGTCATGCGGCATTCATGACATTTAGGCTGACGCAGTGCTTGACTCAATACTTCTTTCAAATTCAGGTGCCACATCATCCCAATGTAATCTATAGGTTTATATTGTCTTGTTTGCTGCTTTTGTTCAAGTCTAACCTTCACTCCTGGTTTACGACCGCAAAAAAAACCCTTGATCTAGTCATTCTAACATGCCCGATCGAGAAAAAAAAAGTAATAGCTGTATGTTCTAGTAAAAGATGAAAATGTATAAACTCGTTTGTGCGAACAGATGTACTGAAAATCTATAAGAACTATCATCTGTGGGTGTATGGATTGCGGGATCCATTGCTGAAATTGGCCAACCCTCTCCGAAGCGACACTAAATCAGTATAAACACAGCAAACGCCTTCTGTTTCTTCTCGATGTATGGTAATCTGATGTTTGACCAGCAACACTAGCCAGCGAAGGCAAGACAGATTCGAGCGTCCGTAATTGTGACATACAGAACGGCAAGTCAATTCTGAGCGAAGCATATTCAAACAAGGAAATGGAGATAGAAGTAGCACAAGATAGTACACATAAATGAGAAAAAACGTTTTTGCTGCCCGTCATCCAGCAATCGCTCTCAAGCCTTACGTTTCTTGCATTTCCTTTTGTCTGCAACTTGTTACGCAATGATGGCTCAGAGTTTGAGCTCTTTTGCTCAGGAGGTCCTCAACTTCACTGGAGTCCCGAACCGCTATCCGGCGCTACGGGGGCGGCGCGGGTCTCTGAAACGACTCCTCAAAGCGGCCCTTCAGTTAACCAGTGTCCACATTAAATTACAGAGAGATGGCGAAAAGCTATGTCATCCAGTCACTTCCAGCCCTCAAGATATTGCGTCACTTGGCCAAGTATCCCCACTCAACGGTGATCGGACTTCTCGTGGGTACGATCGATGGGGACCGCGTGACTATTTTGGACGCCATCCCATTGGTCCATCACTGGCTTGATCTGTCTCCGATGCTTGAAGCTGGTTTGGCGTTGGCGAAAATTCACGTGGAATCGAAGAATTTGAAGCTGCTCGGAACTTACGTTGCTCACTCCAGAACCGATCTCAAATCCTTGGATATCGTTTCTCAAAGGCTCAATGAATCTCTTCAATCCGACTCCTCGATTGCGCTTGTCGTAGGTTATCTCATACCATAGTTGTGTTATAAAAACTAGCCAACCTCATTGCCCTTTCTCTCCTGTTGTAGATCGACAGCACAAAATTGAACACCACTGATAACCCATTTATCGTGAGCATTGATGGCAACACACTCTCTACCCGATTGGACCCTGGTGTTGCTCATAGCTACTTTGTTCTCCTGCCACAGCCGTACACGCGCTCGAAAGATAGCGAATGGTCGGTACTCGGCGATAAAAGTCTACAAGTGAATGTTCCCAAGGATTGGCTTCATTGTGAAGGTTCGATTGGCGACTTTGATGACCATCTTGAAGATCTCGGTGTTGATTGGCTAGTCAATCCGACCATCGTATGCCCTACCTAGGAGTAAACAGTCTTGTTCAAGGTATCGACGTCTCAAACTCATGTAACAAACTTCAATTCACGCATAAATCCACCAATGAATACATTTGCATCTGAAGCTGAGGAAGATTTGGAACCCACTCGGAACTCTGGCTAGCCTCAAACTATTCACATTTGTTAGGATTGGCCTCTCGCACTCCTTCGATTAGTCATTCTTGACTTTCTCGCCTGTTCCCTAGTAGGAAAGTGGATGGTGAACCTTTCAGGTCTGAAGCGTCAAAGGACCTGTGAGGAAATGATTAAAGGGGCTGATAAGAAGGTTTTCACAGTGTAATGAAGGTCTAGATGGTGATGTCATTATAATATGGTTTATTCAAAGTGTGACTCACTGCTTGCATGAGTGAAAGGGCTCACTGTATTCATCCCAGAATATCCCAGACCAACCCAAGTATCCTTCTCCCCAAATCAAAAAAGTGCATTTGCGTTGCTTAGTAGATAAAGCTTGCAATAGTGCAATTCAATATTGACATTCATAAGTTTATAAACTTGAAATCCCCAAGAAATTGCAGTCAAATCCTTTTGGCCATGCAATTCTTCCAGGGCCATGACCAACCCTTCCCCCCCCCCCCCCCCCAAAAAAAAGGGGGGGGGGTTAGGTAAATGACTCCCAAATATTAGCCAACACCTCCCATTACCATTGATGGACAGTTGGTGGCAGTTGTTCTTCTGGGTTGACAGCCAGATATGAAAGTTGTAGAGTTGTCTTGCTAATTTCAATAGAGGCTTAAGGAAAACACCTCCTAAATTTTAGATGATGACTCCCCACTGCCACCCTTGTTAGCAAACAAAGGCCTAAATCTTGGCTTTAATCCAATCTGTTGAAATTTTTCCTCATCTTTCTCTCTCTGCCCTGTTACTCTTTCTTAGCACCCTCAACCAGACTAGACTAATTTTACCAAGTAGCAGGTCTTTGTTGTTTTCTGAGTTCCTACAGAGTCAAATTTGAACCACATGAGCTCAACTCAATATTCTTGTCTCTAAGGTATTATCTTCTCTTTTTCCTGACTTGTTGTGTGTTATTAAGAATTGATTAATAAGAATTAACGCCTCTTGTTATCTGTGATTTGAAACATTTTTTCTTGATTAACTCATCTGACATTACTAAAAGAGAATGAGAAGTTCTGTATAGTTTGTTACTTCCAAGAACTTGTTTTATCTTCTCTCAATTCTTATTCAAAATACTTTTTCTTATTCATTTTTCTCAAACCACATTTTGATCACTTGTACCTAGTCTATTTAAGCGAGCCTATCTACAGTGAATAAAAATCATCGGTTCTTTTCATTCTTTCACCTTGAACCTTTCCCAAAAAAGGGCCCCTGCCTTCTTTGTGCCACTTTCTCAAAATTCTCACTTCAACCGGTCAAGAGCTCAAAAACTCAACACAATCCTGCCTGTCCAGGTCAAAAATCATCACTGTTTCATGATCCTGAGGTCCAATCAAACTGGACAAATTTTTTAGGGGCTTGGTTAAACGACTCCCAAAAAATGGAGAGCCGACTCCCAAGCCCCGGAATCCCCAAAAAATGGGAGTGGAACCCCCAAAACCTTTGACAGGTTTGGGAGTCGACTCCCTAAAAAAATAATAATAAAAAATGAAATTCCCTGGTTGGTGTAGGAGTCAATCCTCCAAACCAACCGGGTTGGGTTAATGAAACAAAAGACCCCCCAGAAGCGGGCCAGGGAGGATTCCTCCTGGGCCACTCAGATTACACACCAATGACTGAGAGGAATCCTCTTGGCCGTTGAGATTCTGCTCTCAGCGGCTGAGGTGATTTCCCTTGGCGTTTGCCGTCAAGAGGTATACACCCTCGGCATTGAGAGTGTACACTCTCAACAGCCGAGGGAAACCACCTTGGCTGTTGAGAGTGTACACTCTCAATGGCCGGGAGTGTACCCTCGGTGTCAAGAGTGTACACTCTCAATGGCCGGGAGTGTACCCTAGGCGTCGAGAGTGTACACTCTCAATGGCCGAGAGGATTCCTCTCAGCTGTTGAGGGTATACACTCTCAATGGCCGAGAGGATTCCTCTCAGCTGTTGAGGGTATACACTCTCAATGGCTGAGGGAAACCACCTCGGCTGTTGAAAGCGTACACTCTCAATGGCCGGGAGTGTACACAGCCTTTGAGAGGGTGTACACCTCGGCGGTCAAGGTAGTTTCCTCGTCAGCCGTCAAGAGTATACACCTTGGCTGTTGAGAGCGTACACTCTCAATGGCCGGGAGTATACCCTTGGCCATCAAGAGTGTACACGCTTGATGGCCAAGGTGTATACTCTCAATGGCCGAGGTGTACACTCTTGACAGCCAAGGTGTATACTCTTGATGGCCGACGGCCGAGGGAAATCACCTTGGCTGCTGAGAGCAGAATCTTGACAGACGAGAGGATTCCTCTCGGCCATTGGTGTGTAATCTGAGCGGCCGGGAGGAATCCTCCAGGCTGCTTCTGTGGGGGTCTTTTGTTTCATCGACCCTCAAACCCCGGTTGGTTTTGGAGGATTGACTCCTACACCAACCGGGGAATTTCATTTTTTTTTTATTTTTTTAGGGAGTCGACTCCCAAACCTGTCAAAGGTTTTGGGGGTTCAACTCCCATTTTTCGAGGATTCCGGGGCTTGGGAGTCGGCTCTCCATTTTTTGGGAGTCGTTTAACCAAGCCCCATTTTTTATTCCCGCTTTGGACAATGTAAACAATAGGGGGGTTCACAATTGAACTTTAAGGCCATTTTTAAGGTGTTTCTGATCATAAATTTTCCATTTTTTTGTGATGCATAGAAGGTTCAGAAACCAATAAATCGGAAACACTCAAAAACTTCATAAAATGTTGCTCATAAACACCTTAAAAATCACTCTAAAGTTCAATCATGAACCCCCCTTAAGTGTTGTATCCTTCTGGGATTTGCTTTGCAACAAACTTGTACAATTTCAGTCAGAGCTGTACCAGCCACTTTATGCACTTGTACCAGACATCACTTCTTTTTTTCTGCCTCACAAATTTTATTTTAAGAATTAAAGTGCGAGAGATTGGGTTCATCCATTGTTATATGTATAGCTCAATCAGGAGGTGTGTAATGAAGAGGCCATCTGATAGGTGGAGTGAGAGGGCGGCCCCTGTGGACAGAAGCCCGCTTTTAAAAAAAACAAAACTGGCAATTTTGAAGATGGGTCCCTCAGGCCTTGTGTTCTGTCTTACCCATAGGCCTTGAGACCTCATGGGATGCCCATGTGTTGGAATTTCACTCGTCATTGCTTTTCTTTTCTCTGTCTTGAACCTGTCACTCATTGTTTAGCTGCTCATCTTGCATGATTATTGTATCTTTCTTATCCATTATGCATCATTAGAGACCCACAACTTGATCATGATGTACTTAGATTACTTAAGACTGCTTGATGATTGGCAATAATAAAATCATCTGTTCTGACCAAACTAATCTTTCAAGTGACACTTGAGCCTCCTCGAAGTCTTATTGTGAGGACACTTAAGCCTCCTCAATTAAGATTCAGGTTAAATACTTCAGACTTAGTCTGCTATTGGCTTGCCTATCTTTCCCTTTATACACTCAAATTTCTTCACCATGCCCATAGGGAGGCTCTTGAGTGGCCTTGTTAAGCTCACCAAAGTTGGGTCCTGGCAAACGGCTTGGGGCATCTCTTTTGACTGGTCAATTCTTCCCAAAAATGGGATTCAGAACTCCACTCTTGGGGGTCCCGCAGCCACTGTTTTTATTTTTTCTAGATGCCTCATGAACTCCCATCACAAAGCTTACACAAATGCATGAGTGAAAATGGAATGTAATCTGTGGCATACAGTGGCTGGGCAGAAGTGTGTTTGGTTGACTTCTTTCTTCAAAGAATTTATTGGATGAGTCCCTGTGGGGATTTAGAACTCTTCTGCAGCTTGATTTACACCACTTTATTTTTTTTTATGTGAGCCAGTCATGGTTTTGATTAGAGTGTAATTAATTTAGAACTGAGGGGGGTCTAAACAACACTCTAGATGGTGATGGGAAATCCTCCATTGACTTCTGATTCTTCTCTCACTTTCATGGATTGCAATAATGCAAATACAGTCAAACCTGTCTAAGGGCATACCCTTCTGTGTGCATAACCTAGCTTGTATAACGGCATGGTGAAGGGCTTCTCCCAAATCTTGATTTTGCTGCAAATTCATTCCCTCTAAGGGCATAACCTGCCTAAAGGCATACAAAAAGCCTTCTCCCAAGGGTTATGTCCTTAGATAGGTTTGACTGTAAATCTGTAGGAGAGAGTTTTAATCTGTCAGCTGTAGCCTCCTGCTCCAGCTTTTCTCTGAGTGGTTGCCCTGATTATGTAAGCAACCCTGTCCAACTTTTTGTTTTGGTTCAATTTCTTGACGTCATCAATCGGTCGTCGCTGTTGCAGTTCGCCCCGGTCTTTCACATGTGAAGTCTTCCTCTCTTGATTTTAAACCTTGGCTTGACTTTCCTCCAGCTCAATCAACTCAACCACCACCAACTCAGGGATCGATTCGATCAGCCATTTGAAGAGTGAGTCCTTCCGTCATTTCTCTAACGGCTTCCTCTAGTCAGCCAGCCTGATGACATCGAATCGGAACTCCTTCGCTGATCTGTGATTCAATTTATCGGTTTTTTAATTTGCGAAAAAAAGAAGCAGGATCGATTGGAGGAGCGTTGGATGACTAACCGCATGTAGACCAGTTCCCGCCCTTCAGCTTCGAATTCGATTTTTCATCCACTTCCTCCGATCCTCGACCACCACCGCCACTGCCTACCAGTATCACCACAGCCACTCTCAGCCGATCCTTTAGTCAGCCATCCCATCCTCCCTCCTCTATCGTTCTTCGTCGGTACTCATATGGGTCAGTCAGTCTCCACCCCAGAAGTTTATCCATTTTAATAAAATAAAGAGGGAAAAAAAAGAAACGAAACACAGCTTGGAAATGGTCATCTGGAGAATGTTTACTATTTAAAGAACCATGGACTCCATCATCGCCCTCAGAAAATTGCATCTTCTTTCCAGAGCTCCTTCCCTTCTCAGCCCGTTTCCGAATATTGACATTTTGATTCGTGGTGCTCTTGCAGATGCTTCTACCCTACGCGCTCTACAAGATAAAGGTCAGCTCCATCAATAGCAATCTCAAAAGATACCCCACAAAACATATCGAAACTGGAATTATGAAAGTTGAAAACACATCCTTCCTATCATTTTCAATCATGTTTAGTTTACGACAAGCGGAAACATGCTGCTTTCCTGATCGAAGCGTGAGTTTTTAGCTCCTACCACTCTCCCCATTTTTTCATCTTCATTCTCATCACTGCCAGAGCTGACCTTGGGATTTTTTCATCTGGCTACGGCTCTTTGACCCCGAGTCAAGTCAGATCAAGGATCATCTTGTAAAACGCGATTATGGCGTGATCGATGAAATCGTCAATCAACTCTCTAGCCTGGCGTTCAATAACAATCCATCATGGAGATGGGGTGGTGTGATGGGCCTAGCCGCCTGTTCGATCGCCCTAGGTCCCGAAATCGCTTCCTACCTTCTTGCAATCGTCCCCCCAATCATCTCCTGTTTCTCTGATCCCGACAGCAAGGTCCGCTATTTCTCTTGCGAAGGAATGTATAACGTCGTCAAAGTGGCCAAGGGGGAAATCCTGGTGTATTTCAACGACTTATTTGATAGTCTTTCAAAGGTCGGTTGTTTTCTTTTCGTTTTGTTTTGGATATCAAAGCAAAATTTCAATCCAACTTGCTTTCCTTCCTGCTTACTCACTTCGTGTCACATTCAGCTTGCCGCAGATCCTGATGCAGCCGTCAAAAACGGAGCAGAGCTGCTCGATAGACTGATCAAGGATATCGTCACTGAACAAGCTGCCACTTACATATCCGTAGTTTCACCTCGTCAGCTACATGCCCTGCGCCAGCAAAATACGCAATCGTCTTCTTCCTCAGCAACCACGATGGAAGACTCCTCCTCATACCCTTCAGCCGTTCGAGCATTTTCTCTAAAAGCGTTCATCCCACTCTTACGCGAGCGAATCCATACACACAATCCATTTACCCGACAATATCTCGTCTCCTGGCTTCAGCTCTTGAACTCGATACCAGAAATCAATCTAGTCAGCTATCTACCTGATTTTCTGGACGGATTGATCACCTACCTCGCCGATTCGGGCAATGAAATCCAACTTGCTGTTCAAAATTTGTTGGGTGATATGATGGTAGAAATCGATGCTGTGGTTCACGCAAAGGAATATAAAGAACAAGAGCGGTTGCAACAAAGGGAACTGCGAAGGCAACGCCGGATATTCGAAAAACAAATGACTGGAGCCGCCAGGGATCCTCGACAGTTTCCTCGCCCACCGCAACCCCGTTTTCATCCGAAAGAGGAAACCAATGACGAAAATCCGGCTTGTGAACCCAGAGCCAGTTCTCCCCTCAATGCGAAACCGAGCGCCAGTGCCAACAATACGCCGGTTATGACTGGTTTGGGAGCTGAAAAGAAGGATGACTTGATCAATGAAACTGGATTGGACTCTTTGAACTTTGAGAATGATAATCCGACTGACCATGATGAGGACGGAGATAGTTCAGAAACTTCAGACGACGACACATATATGCACGGGCAAGGAGTGGACCTTAATTTGGCATCAATTGTCCAGATCCTTATCAAATGGATGTGTATACATGAGATAACTGAAGAGATTCAGGCGTTGTGTCTGAAATGGCTCAGCGAAATTATACAAATCGATCAATCCGTGATCATTCCATTTACTCCACGACTAATCCCGATCATTCTGGGTTGTCTCTCTCACGAACGAAATTACATCAAGGACATTGCGGTTGGTGCGAACTATAACCTCTTTCACGCCATCGCACAACTGCCTACCCCACCACCACCCTCTCTACCGCCTGTCCCACCGCCACCGCCACCCCCAGTCAATGTACCTGATGTCGATAAACGAAAGCACGATCCACGACTAAGCTCTCATGTGTCAGCTTCGGTAGACAAATTCAGGAATAAAATCATGCGTCCCGAGCGTGGCAATCCGCCCGCAACCCCGACACCCTCTACATGGACCATTCGGCCACGCAGAGGGACGAGGCCCAATGGTATTGCTGAAGAGGTTGTCCAGTCAAACCCGGATCATGAAGTACAAGCGGAAACGCCACCCATAGAAGAAATGCCGCCAGACCCGCTAGACTACGCATTAACTGTGAATGCATTGACATTACAGTTTTTAAACGAGTATGAGGAAACACGACTAGCCGCGTTGAAATGGTTAATGATGCTCCACAACAAAGTGCCGAATAAAATCCTGACACTCGAGGATGGAACCTTCCCCGCCTTGTTGAAGACGTTGTCCGACGACTCCGAGGCAGTGATAAGATACGACCTGGAACTATTGTCTCAGATCAGCTTGAGAAGCCTGATGAACACCGAAGAGGAAGGATATTATTTTCGCCATTTCATGTGGAACCTCTTGAGCCTGTTTGGGACCGACCGAAACTTGCTGGAGTCAAGAGGTAATCTCATCGTCAGGATCTTGTGCAAAAACCTGAATGCTGAACGGATCTATAAGTCATTTGCTGAATACCTTGAGGCCGATGAGGTGAGTTAATTTCAATCCAAAAAAAAGAAGGGGTTTTACAATGCCATGAGTGTCAACCAGTTTTCGAATACTACTTGCGTGCTGATGAATGTCGCCCGTCCATCTTCTCCTTTTCCCCTTTTGTCACAAGTAGGATCTAGAGTTTGCATCATCAATGGTACAAAACTTAACTTTGATCATGATCACATCACCTGAACTAAGTGACATGAGAAGGAAGCTAAAACAGCTCGAGACGAAAGAGAGCGTTCAACTCTTTACACACCTCTATCGATCATTCAGTCATAATCCTATCTCGACCTTGACATTGTGCCTATTATGCCCGATGGCATATGAACACGCCTTTCACCTCCTGACAATCCTGGCCCATGATCTTGAAATGACCGTTGGGCTTCTGATTCAGGTTGACAAACTTGTGCAGCTATTGGAGAGTCCGGTATTCACCTGTTGAGTAGCAATGAGATTATTGATTGAGATGCAAGCAAAAAGCTGACTTTATGAAAAATGTTTACCCCTTTTTGTTTGCAAAAAAAGCGCTAAGGTTGCAGCTACTGGAACCGGACAAGTATCCATTTCTTTACAAGGCATTGTATGGAATATTGATGCTCTTGCCACAGAGCAGCGCGTTTGCGACTTTAAGGAATAGGTTAGGAGCTGTGAGCACATTGGGTTATGCCCATGCAGCACCAAAGGCGTGCGTACTGAATTACACCAAGCTCACTCTTTCGCTGTGCTCATACTAACTCATTATTTGTTGCCTAACCCGCCTCCAGTACTACGAGCACGTTGCCCGGATCCAACATGAATACAATACGTGGTCTGAAAAATGCCCTGAAGCCGGCTGACCACGAGGCCGTAAACTGGAGTTCATTGTTACTTCATTTCAAAGCGCTTCAGACGAAACATGAAAAGGTTCGACGCCAGCCGCCTCATCATCTACATCACGGGCGCGATTCGGAATCGAATGGGATGCATGACAGGGAGAGCGAATTCAACGGTGGTGGATTGAATGAGCAGCAAGGTCCACCGCACCCCAATTACAATTCAACACAGGTTCGCTCGCCGCAAGAAATTGTTCCCGACCGACCCACGTCCGCTCATCCGCGAATATCCAATCAGCATGCTCTCGGTGGTACAGTTCCTATTGATACGCCAGCTACCAACGATCCAGTAACTTCACCAGTAGGACATCAACGTTTGAGCAGTACTTCCACTCAGGCTACCATACCGCCTGCAAGTATGAACCAGCCGAGCAAAATCCCCGCCTCCGTGCTGCACAGTCGAAAGAAGAGCGTAGGATCGATGGCCCAAGCTAGCAACCCCAATCGGAAAACCAGTGTTGCCGCCGGTGTGGGAACAACAAACTCGAATGGTGGTGGGGCAGTCGGGGTACAAGGAGTCGGCCCGTCTTCGTCCTCATCCGCCTCTTCAACTCCAACTGGTATTCCAGTAAATATTCCATCAGGATCAAAAACACCAGGCGGGAGCAGTAGTATCGCTAGTAGCTCGAGTAGCAGTATCACAACTGGAACACAAAATGAAAAGCCTGTAGGCAATCCTAATCCTATCTCAGCACCAGAACCTAATCGGTAATTTTCAGCTAAGATGATTTCTATTTCAAAAGCCATAAATTATTTTACTCATTTTTTTCTTCACATGTATGTATATATGCCTGTTATTTAAATATAAATATACACTTAGATCAGTCTTACCCTTATAGGCTTATGTAATTGTAAGATATTTTTATAATCATGACAGTTAATTTTTAAAACTTATAAAATCTTAGAAAATCAACATCAGTTTCTTTTTCTCTGAATTGATCTACAACTGCCCTCCAACCCTAGAGGCTAGTCACAATCGGAATAAGATGGTAATGCCCTTGACCTTGCCATTAGTACTTCAGTGGTCTCGTCATTGGGCTCTTATGGACAGCCAAGGGGCATTCTCCCAAGAAACTCAATTGAACTACTTATATATATTACTGCATCAGACTCATGGTATATTGTAGACTACAAATGGACCTGATAACAACATCTTCCAGTTGGTTCCAAAGCTCCATTTTGAGTTAAATATCCTGAGATGAGGTTACCATTTCACTTTCACATATTCAAGCTCGCAATTGCTTATTGAGAAATAAAAGAGGCAACTTTCACATCCAAGACTCCCAAGTGGAATGTGGTGCTACCCTATCAAGTTTCCTCTTTCTTTTTCGGTTCAAGTATCCTGTATATTTTGATTTGCCTCAATCTTTTCCCCTCGACTATTGAATCTATGCGAAAACAGATACTTCGGATTTGAGTAGTGGTGTGGAAATTATTAAATGCATTTCACGCGTTTTGAATAGAAATTCAAATTAATACTCTCGGGTGGATCCCGTCCTGAGTATAGAGCATATACATAGATCGCCCAACAAAAAGAAAAAAAAATCTGGATGACCGAGGCTGGAAGTATATCTTTCCTAAATGAACTGATGAAGAACACATTTTTGATGTCAATGCAAATTGTAATCAAGACAAGGACGTCGTTCAGATCAATCGATTGAACGGGATCTTGGAAATGTAAATGTTTTGAAGAGCATGATCACATATGCTTAGGTTTGCGGCTCCTATAAACTTCGATTGGGCGGCGTATAAGGTAATGAATAGAGGAAAGTTGAGAGGGTCCCCAAGGGACATAATCATGGCTGATCCGGCTGAGAAGATTGAGGATGAGGTTGAGGTTCCGCTCCAGGTTGAGTTTCAGGTGGAGGCTGAGGTTGGACGACCACTTTATTTTTTGAGCGGTTAGCCCGAGGGGTGAATTTAGTCCAATGACTGGCCCAGTGCCGGCCGCCGGCGCCCGCCCCGGATCGCTTCTTCGTCTTCCGGTCGGCGCCCGTGACGGCTTCGGGACTCGAAGAGTCTGGGTCACTCGACCCTGCTTCTTTCTCGATCAGATTCACTGGTACCCAGCGGATCCGCGAATGTGTGTGGGTTAGCGGTTCATAGCTCACTTTCACTTTCTCTCCTCCTGCTCCTCCTCCTCCTGCTCCTTCATCTGCTTCATCTCCTTGTTCTTCATCTTCATCTTCTTCTGGTCCTTCATCCCCTCCTTCATCTTCTTCTCCTTGTCCTTCGGTTCCTGACTACTTCCAAAATGAGTTGTCGAAATGGTTACTCGTGCTGATTGATTATAATTACAAGCCGGAACGAAGCCGGAAGAAATGTATGGAGAAGCTCACTCGCTGTCTACTCATTTTCTTTCCGTTCTCTGATGCCGACACCGGTCGCATTATTAATTCAGTCCCGACGAGACTCTCGTACTCTCCCCGGTAGATTTGATCACCTATCTTCAAGTATGGCTCGGCCGTGTTCAAACCCTGTTACCTTTTCCATCAAGAATTTTTTTTGGTTGTTTCAAAGAAATGCTTATCAGTCACGGTTTTTGATTTATTTGGAAGATGGAAGAAATTAGTAAATTGGAAATTGACGGACCAAGACTTGGAAACCGGAGTAAGAGTTAATCGGGCTAGGAGCATGAGAGTGGCCGAAATCGAAGGTCAAGTATTCGACCTATGCAAGATACATGCTCGATATGAGCATGAGTTCTCTTTCGCGAGATGATCAAGACAAGAAAAAAGCGGAGGGGATCGAGACTCGACTTCTTCGGTCCATTCGTATTCTTCGTCGTCGCCCGATACGGGCAGCTCGGCGGAAGGAAACTCGTTGACTTGTTCCCATCGGCTGTCGAGTGGCGGAGTGAAGGGGAATCTGGGCACCGATTCCTCTGTCCTCGAACTGGTCTTGCTGCTGCTTGGTTCTGCCATCATCGATGTCGTCGTCTGGAAGTGTTGGTGATAAATTTCATGCCAGCTGCCCCTACTGTGGGCCACACCCAGCTGATGTCACAGGTTACCTGTGACATCTCGTCGGAGTTTCTACAGCCTGAGACAGGTTGAGGTGACAGCCTGCATACAGGTGAGGTGACAGTGTGAGCGCATACATCGCCTTCAACCAAGACCATCGAAGACCAAGAAACTCGAAGCCATCAGCATCCATCCAATTCTTCAGGACACAGAGAAAGGAGAGAGGAGAAGAAAGCAAGGGACAGAGGAAATCACGTTCAGGCGAAGATGACCACCCGGACATGTCTAGCACAGCTCACGAGGATACGGCCGAGTATGACTCTCAACACGATCAGCACTCCCAGACGCATGCTAGCCTCGCAGGCCAAACCAGCTTCCTTCGTCGAATATGATTGGGAGGACCCTCTCCGGTTGGAAAAGAGTCTGCTGACGGAAGACGAACTAGCAATCAAGTAATCCGTAGCCTCCATGGTCACACATCTTTAGATCCCCGCAAGCTTGATTGATAGACTTACGCTCTCGTCACCAACTCTGTTCTTATAGACAGGCTAGCCATGAGTACTGCCAGGAAAAACTCATGCCCAGAGTCTTGGAGGCTCATCGAAAAGAGTGTATGTCTAATCCTCATTTTCTTTCCCTCGAATTCCTTGATTGATTGATTTCTACTTTGGTCGGATAGCTTTTGACCCTAATATCCTTAAGGAGATGGGAAAGCTTGGCTTCCTAGGTCCTACTATCTCGGGTTACGGATGCGCTGGCGTAAGTCTGTCGAAAATTTCTTGTTTGTCCAAAAGCAAAAAATTAATTCATCGCCTTTTTTTTCTCGATTTGACAGGTCTCGTCCGTAGCTTATGGCCTGGTTGCTCGTGAAGTTGAGCGGGTCGATTCCGGATACCGTTCGGCGATGAGCGTGCAATCATCCCTAGTCATGCATCCGATCTGTAAACAATCTCAACATACTTGACCAAAACAAATGGGTCTATACTTAAATATTTGTCGCTCTTCCCGATTGTCATAGACGCCTTTGGCTCGGAGGAACAAAAGTCGAAATTCTTGCCAGAATTGGCGAGCGGGAACATGATTGGATGTTTCGGGCTGACTGAGCCCGGACATGGATCGGACCCTTCAGGCATGTTGACCCGAGCAACCGAAGACCCATCGGGCGGTTACAGTAAGCTGGCCGATCATCCTTCCTGTCCTCTAACTACATACACAAGGCTCGTGTCGCTCACACTCGCTTTCACTCGCCAGTCCTGTCGGGTAGCAAAACGTGGATCACTAACGCTCCCATCGCCGATGTTTTTGTGGTGTGGGCTAAGTGTGATTGGGACCAAAAGATCAGGGGGTTCATCTTAGAGAAAGTCCGTCCAAGTTCCCGGGAAGTCCCACGGATTCAAGTTGGAAGATACTCAAAAAAAAAACCTTGGTTGTTAACGTTGATTAGGGCATGAAAGGGCTTTCTGCGCCGAAAATCGAGCACAAGCTTTCGTTGAGGGCCAGTGCGACAGGGTCGATCTACATGGACTCGGTGCCGGTTCCGTCGACGAATGTGTTGCCCAAGGTGACTGGCCTCAAGGGCCCGTTTGCGTGTCTCAACAGCGCCCGGTTTGGGATTTCGTTTGGGGTGATGGGCGCCTTGGAGGAGTGCGTGAAGCGCTCTAGGGAGTACTCCTTGGAGCGCATCCAGTTCAACAAGCCCTTGGCGGCCTTCCAGCTCATCCAAAAAAAGCTCGTCGATGCTAACACCGAGGCGGTCATCGGCTTGTGTGCGGCGATTCAACTAGGACGGATGAAGGACGCTGGAACTTGGTGTCGTGGGTCACATGCTCAACTTGGAATTGTTTGCTTTTTCTTGACTCACATTGATCCTTGGATGTTTCTTTTCCCCGCCTGCTTATTCCAGCCGAGATGGTCAGCCTCCTCAAGCGCAACAACTGCGGTAAAGCGCTCCATCATGCCCGGATCCTCATGGACATCTTCGGTGGGAATGCGGTCTCGGATGAATATCACATCGGTCGGATCGCCGCCAACTTGCATGTCGCCAACACCTACGAGGGCACACATGTTAGTGGCCAATCTTCATCTTCTCGAGGTTTATATGTATCCTATCATTCATGGATCAATGAACTAAATCGATTTTTTTTTCTTCTTCTTTGTTTTTCCTCCTTTGCTCCAGGACATCCACACGCTCATCTTGGCTAAAGCCATCACCGGAATTCAAGCTTTCTCGTAATCTGTGTCCCTTGGATCTTGTATACCACTTTTTTTAAAAAAAATCTATCGTACGATTTTGTATAGATAATTGTATAACACATCTCACAGAATTTAACATTTTTGTTTTGGGTGGCTATTTCTCTTTCGCAAATCACCTGTTTTTTTTTTTGCAAGTAAAACGTCCTGGGCAGCAGTTTTAGTTTTAGTATGCATAGGTAAATGAAGTGGAATGAGGACCTTTGTAAAAAAGGGTGGGGAGAGATTGTGAGAGACGGGATGAGCAACCAGTCTAATGATGCCCTTGAGGGGTCGCAAGGCAAGGGAACCACAACTTGAAAGCTTCATTGTGCAGGTTGAGCAGGCACCTAGAGCTAACTAAGCACGCCATATTTTTGATGCAAAACATATCATTTGTGGAAAGGCAACGCATACGGGCACGGCTACCGGGCAGTCGAGGCTTGGGCCCCGCTACCCTCGGCAAGTGAATCCACCATGGATAAGGACTGCCGTCACACGAAATCTAGTGAAACTGCCCCGCGACTTCATCATGGCCTCCGGTAGTCAAGCTGGGGCGAAAGGGTACACACACTTCCGAGGTTGTGGTTGTGCTTCAGCACTTCGAGCAGAACCCCAACACACGGAGTTGCTTTCCAGTCATCAGACCCATCGCTCAAACTATCTCTTTCAGCCATGGCAATATGCCTCAAACGGCTTCCGCGATGGGTTCCTAGAAGGAAAGATACATGAAAAGGCCTCTTGGTCGTTAGTGATTCAAGTTCTAGGAGGATTCCTGAAACTGTATGAACGATCACCTCGACCTGCCTCCTCGAGTCAGGTCGATCAGGGTGGATACGACCCGGTGCTCGATTGTCCCGCTGAGACGGCCCGGAGACGCCAATGAAGTTGCTGGTTTGATAACGCTCGGTCACGGGTGGATGAAGGAATGTTTGGTGATGGCTTCACATCGTCTATAAATTGAGCTTTATGGCTTTGAGATTTCGGGACTCACCCCATCCCTCATCAACACACTCTTTGACATATAGCACACTCTTTCTAACTCCAGCCACTCTTTGATTTATTATATTGTCACACTCGTTCATCATCAATTGTCTTTTCCGGGTAATTATTAGCTTGGTATACTCTAATCCGTAGCGTATTTATATCCTACTTTGTGATCTCTTTGTCGAGTCCCATCCGACTTGCCTTAAGCAATCTCCACACAGGACACCTCCCTTACTCACTACTCGCCTTTCATAATACCTTGAGATCGATTCTGATTTTTTCTAAAGTGTGAAAACCAATCATGCTATCCTTCAACTTCTTCTGTCATGCGCTTCCAGTAATCAGCATCATTGGACCATTTGTGAATGCTGGCTTCCTTCCTCAAGGTAACATCAATCGACTATTTTTGTGTATGTTTGGCGACGATAAAGCTAACAAATCGTTTCCTGCATTTTAGAGCCTGTCCATTTCACACGATCTTCCAGCGTGACTGAATCCAGCACCTCAAGCAAGACGACTTCCACCAAGTCCTTCCATTCTTCTGTCATCAACCAACCGGCGGTGGTGGTCAGAAGCTTTCCATTAAGTCAGGACGGGGTCAATTGCCAGTATCAAGCTTTGCCACAAGGGCACCAGGGTATCCAATCTAATTCTTACGCCGCTGGTTCCGCTCCCTCGTCTCGGATGGTGGCTAACTTGACTCCACATAACTGTCATGTGCGATGCACACCTCGTAAGTGCCTGTGATTTTGCTTCAGTAAGAGTAAGTCAAGATACTCATAATGATCTTTCCACAGCTTCACCCACTTCGCCTAACAAGGTAAAAAATCTCATTACACCCAGTTCATCTTTTTTCGGTCTCTCTTGCGGAAGCAAACTGGGCGCTTGATCTCCGTGGGCGCTTACCTCCAATCTTTCTCATTGACCCCGCAAAAAAAAAAAAAACAATTATAGCACGACTGTCAAAAGATCATCAACACGATGAGAAATATGAAGCAACGTCAAATTACCATTGAGCCCCGTAAGCTAACTCATCAAAGAAATCATCTGATCATTTGTGATTTGTTGGACTGCTTGCTAAAAAGTTTATGATTTCTTGTATGCTTTCTATTGTTTAGGAAATTGGCTCTATGTCTCATACAGACAATGTGCAGTTGTGTTGTTAGTAACAGCCTATACTTATGTTTACTCTCACAGGCAAATCTGAGCATTTTTACTTGTGAATTCTGTAGCGAAAATCCGGGCGCTCAGAACGTGGCAGTTGTGGTATGTTATCTCTTTAAAGCATGAAAACCTGCGCATCAGATGGCATACTGATGATGGCGATTTATTAGTACCAATGGAACCGGTTGGCCGACCAAGCAGAACGACTCCAATCTCAATGCGCTGGAGGCTCATCAACCTCCACCCCGGGATACGGATCGGGATCTAAAAGTGTGAGCAAGGAGTTTCGGTCTTCAATTTATCTCATGTGTACATCCCATAGTGTAGCGTAAAAGCAGGATTTTGATCGGGACTTGCTTGTGAAACTTCTATCTACGCTTTCAGACCGGAACTTGTTTCTTCTCATCCTGCGACCTCAATGATTCCACCCATCCCTTTAACGCTGCCCGAAAAACAATCGCAAATGCCAAGACTTCAAAGGTGGAGAATAGCGGAGTGAGTAGATTTATTCGTCCATCTTCTGGAGCCTCAAGAGAAGCATGATTTTTATATAGCTAATCAAAAATTTCTGTCGGATTCTTGTCTGGAAACAATAAAAAAGGTCATGATCACTTTCCAGAGAAATAAATACGTTCAATAATGGACTTATTATATGTGTGGGACTCTTGAGGTTGAATCAGATCATCAAGATTAGTGGACAATTACAACTGGACATTATACAACTTGAAAAACACAAGCTGTGGAAATTCCATGACCTGGACTCTTTTTTTTCATTTTTTTTTTTTTGAAAAAAGACAAATGGGAAAAAAAGGGAAAGAAGAAGATGAAAAAAAGGGAAAAAAATGGTACATGTTAGGGCAGACTTTTTTGTGGTGGGCTTGTATAGATTGTAAACTCCAATTTATGAGATAGTTTTGAGATTTCATGAAGTGTGTTTTTTACATTCTTATTCTTTTGTTTTTGTTTTTTACTTTTTTTTCTTTAATTTTTTTTTGGTGAAAATGGTAGTTTTCAATGGATAAAGTTTAATTGCCTAATATCTAGACTCTAGTGGAGGTTTTATTATTGATGATCTGAGAACTTACCTCTCCAACTGATTGAAAGTGAAATACATAACAGTATGAATCTTGGAGGTATATGTATCTTGGACAGAGTCATCCCTGCAGGTCCTGTTGCGCCCCTCTTATTATGTACCACCAATACTGCCATTTTAAATATTGTTTTCAGCTCTGTAATGCTTGATGGGACTGCTTGGCTTGGACTACCTCAATAGGGGGTATCAAATATAACGAAATCCACCACTTTTTAATTGACTGGTTTTGAGAAATCCACACTTACCAAATCCACCTTTGCAGTGACCAAAAACATTATTTGGTGGGCTTCACACCTTTTTTTTGGTTTCTGAGCTGGATCAAAATTCTCTCTGGTCCTCTGGTCACTTATAAATTTGAACATGAAAATTAACAATTTTCTTGAGTCATAACCAACCAACTCAGCAAATCATGATGAGAGATTCTAGCTCAAGGTGAATTAAGGAGTGGGAAAGCAGACCTTCCCTGGATATTGTTGATGAAGTTGTTCCAGTATCATATAATATGTAACTTTCTTTGTTTGAACCCCTCATCCTGTTCCTGCTGGTGAACTGCTAGGTCAGTGGTATTCATAATTGTAAACTTGGAAAGACTTGTGTTGATTAACCTTTGGATAACCATAATAAAAGCCTGAACCCATAGAGTGTGATTGTATGGGCTGTAGCAAGTACAAACAAACAAATGATGATGTCAATGAGGATGACATCATAAGTACTCTATATTGTATCTTGGATGCATCAAGTCTTGTGGCTGCAACAAGTGTGAACCCCTTCAAGTTCTGGTTATGTACAACAGGCTGGGTGGGATCGGCAATGACATCACTACTGGAGGGATATTCCACTGGAATATGGGGTGGGATAGTCATTCAATGTTTTGGAATGTTTTCAACTGTTTGTTTCCCAGTCATGGTTTCTGTTTTTGTTGGTTTTGTTCGCTTTTGCATCCCAGTACTCCATGGTCTTTTAACTCACTTCCATCCACCAGAAACCCACTTCAGCCTCAACCAACCACCCAGAACCATCAACAACAACGACCATCATCAACAACAAACCAACAAAACACACAACCAACAAACCAACCAACCAACCAACAACCAACCATGAACCCCAAAGCAAGCTCAACTAACATCGAACAGCCATCAAAAACAACACCAACGAACACCGACAAACCAAACAACGACAAGAACCGGTCCAGCGATCTCAATCAAACTGCCACCACTAACACCACCATCACACCCTCTACCTCCCATGCCATCCACTCAAACAACCAGTCAGCTGGAAGGCCGCTTGCCTGTGGCCGTCGGCGTCGTCACACTATCAGCAACAACCACATCGAGGTAAGAAACCCCAATCGAATGGTCTCAAACCGGCTTCGATCGATCGTTTCATTCTCTCCCCCTTTCTTCATCCCCTTCACCCATCCAATCCCTTCTCCAACGACATATTCTAGCACCACCATCCCTTCTTCACATCATCATTTATTAACACAACCTCTCTCTTCATCTCCTGAACCACTTTTACTGTTAATAATGATAACATATAATGCGATCCCCTCTCGGTATCACGAGTGCCCTAACTAACCCCTCTGTGTTACCTTTCCCTCACAACAGTTCATGTTCTACCATTGCTTGAGGGACGACATTGACGAAGATGATGAGGATGAGCACGACGAGGATGATGAGGAAGACTCGGAATCGAGCTATCATCGGATCTCCCCCAGGCGGCAGGAACAAACCCTGTTCGATAACCATCATTGCGATGTCATCGTCCTTAAGACCGATAACGGATGGTGCTTTGATCAGGTCTGTTGCGCTTCCTCTTCTCCCACTCCTCATCCTCCATTCTTCACACCGTCTCTCTTCCCTGTCTCATGTCTCTATATCAGAGGGGGAAAAAAAAAAAACAGAAAACTATCTCTACCCTCGCCTATAGCAACAAAAAAAATATGCCTTCTATTCAACTCATGATCTATTTCAAAAGAGAAAGAGAGAGAAAGAGTTCTTTTTTATACGTAAATTTACCTCTATTGTATCGACTTGGTTGTGGGTTCAGGACATCTTCTTACCGGCTTGGAGGCGGGATGCGTATGAAGCAGCCGGACAGGAGGATGGATTCACTGGGCAACAAGAGTTGGTCAAAGTCGATGAGATCCGAGTCGACTGAACTGTCCGCTTCGTCATCAACCCGTCTTCCCCCGCCTCGTCCAACCCCACCAAGAATGATATCCCTATTTCTCCACTCCCCTCCTCCCCACACACCTCCATCCCTTCAAAAAAACAAAACAAAAGTCTACTCCTCAATCGCTTGTCCCTCACCAACGCTGTCCTCCTTGGATCGCATCACACTCACCTTCGCCCGTCGCTCCAAGCTCCCTTGGCCTTCTCTTCAAACATTTTGTTTTCTGCCCTCGTTTCATTGTTTTAATGGGGTTTGACAAGTGTACATGAGTGTAAAACAAACAACCTCCTTTTTCTTTTTCTTCTTCTTCTTCTTTTTTGAACCAACCCTGTTCATCTCAATGTTGTCATTTTTACTTATCCTTCTTCCTCTTGTTGTCTAAACAAAATCAAGTAAATAAATGAATATAAACATAAATAAATAAATAAATAAATAAACAAGTATATACATTGTTACCAAAAAGAAATATAACCTCTTCCCCCCACCAACTTGATGTGAATTTCATACTAAATTACCTTTGTTACATTTTTTGAAGTCACTTGTCAATGTAATCATCACCACAAAGAATCCCCCCTAACTTAACTAAGTTGCTTCAGCAGTTGATCTGATGGCATGCTGGACTTAGCTAAGTTGGGAATCCCCCCCCCCCTAAACCTAAGGTCACCAAATTATAACTAAACAATCATAGATTTGTGAGGAGTGTATAGTCATGCCCTAGGGAACAGGATTGGGGACTATCTGAAGTGGGCTGGGATAGGATTGATGGAGTGATGAGAGAAGAGTGTCTTAGGGTGTTTGAAACTCCAGATCGAATGGTTTGTTATGTATATAATGGGGGGTTCTGTGGCCCCTAAAAAAGGTGTGGGAATTCTGATCTTTTTTTTGGCATAGTGTCTCAGGATTCTATGGGATGTGCACTAATGCTACATGTGCTGGGCTCTGAAAGTTGCCTGCTTAGCAGTGCTTTGACCGTAATGACTCGTAGCATGTCTGCCATGCGATGAGCATTGTTTGTTTTTGCTTGGATGGATGACTTCCTGTTGGGATTTACAACCCTGGCAGAATTTGATTTACACCTCAAAGGTCATTCTTGATTTTTGGTGCACAAAAATATTGCTTCTTTGGAGGCCTGGTAGTCCAGGCCCTCATGCGAGCTAGTTGTGGTTTTGATTAGAGACTAGAGACGAGTGTTTGTTGTGGACTGAGAGGGGTCTGCAATGTTCAGGCGGACACCCTGGTGACTGGAGACAGGATGTTGGGATGGATCGGCTGTTCACATTGATCTCAAAGAAAAATGAGAGAAAGGAAAGAAAATAAGAAGAAAGAAAGAGACACACCTGGAGACAGGAAGTTGGAAAGGATGAGAAAATTCGAATCCTTCCCACTTACTGTCTGTTGCACTGCATTACTCCACACTCTCCATCGAATCATTGGTGTTAGAAAAGGATCACTATGAATTGGATCACAAGTTCCTTTTTGTTTCTTCTCTTTAATTACTTGTTTCATTTGCTTTTGATTTTGTGTCTGTTACCATGCAAAGAACTCCTGACTGTTCCTACCGATTGCCAAGTTACAATATCAATTTTGATCATCCAACTCATCTAATCCTTTATAGACTAGATGAATAAGGAACCAAAGTGTTGCAGAGTGTGACATGTGAGATGAAAAAGTGAGCAAGCACAATTAATACAAAAGAGACTATGGAAACAAGAGTAGATATTTATCCTTGGGGAAAAATAGGTATTGTTTGTAGCAACAATGGCTCCACTATGCTAACAGTAGTGTTAGCACAGTGTAAAATAGCGGATTTCCGTTAAAATTTAGCATATGTAGCACAACAACATTATGCCACAAATGAGCTAATGATACGTGCACAGGCCTCCAAAAAAGGCCCACTATGCTGTGCGACGGTGTATCTTAGCGGTTTTTGAGCGTTTTTTTGATGCTAAAAGTGCTGTAGCGGAGCATAACATGGTGTAGTGGCACCAACACTACAGGTTTGGTGCACTGTTTTGAGGGCCTCTATGCTAAGTTTAGTGGGCCGTTGTGGTAAGCCACTCCTGAAAATTCAAAGTTATCAGGAGCACAAATCACAGAGGAATCACAGGATCAAGACACCCCAGAAAGATCCCCAGACCCCCAAACCAATCATGAATCCCCTCAAGCACAGACCACATGGATAATAATACTTCCCAGCAGAAACTCCACAGCCCTGAAACACATTTCCCTCCAAACATATTCTATTCTTCCTCCCCCTGGTGTCTCACACTAGTAAAGATCCCCTTGGCCATGAAACAGTTATTTCCTCCTATCTCCTTCCATGGAATATTTTTCTCCTTATTTGTTTCATACTAGTAACCTTGTGAGCATTTTCCCACTGCCTATTTCCCCTGTTTCTATGGATAAATATATTTTCTCTTGTTTCATGCCCTCATAGAATGTTCCATTTATCTTCCAACCACAAGCTGGCCACTCCCCAGAATTTTGTATATAAGGAGCTTTGTTTTTCCTCTTCCTTTGTTCCTCATCAGATCCTGCCCCAGAAATTCAGATAACTGATCACCCATTATTAGCCAGGTATTTGCCCATCAACATTTGGGATACCTTGATTTGTGACAAGTTTATTTAGACTAGTAACCATAAGAAATATTAGACATACCATCCTCAAGAAATCTCCACAGCCACACCTTTTTCCTTAAGAGTCCATACTCTTATATTTTCTTGTTATCAGAGAGGCAGCCCAATAAAGCATCCATCCCTCTCAAGCTCTATTCATCCCAAGAGTAGTTCCACACCGTTTAGTGTAGTGCACTGTACAGTGGGTGGACCATTATTTTTGGCTTCTTGTTTTGGGTTCTACAGCTTCAAAGTACAAACTTCAAGTCACAAGACTTGTTGAATTGGTGCAGAATAGGTCCCAAAGAATGAATATGAAAAAAAATAAAAACAAAAAACAAAGTTTCAAAATTTGTGAAAAATAAAAAAAAATAAAAAAGTTTTTTTTCCAAAAGCTTTGTTATTGATTTTGGGGGAGTGGGAGTGCTGAGAGAAAGAAAGAGTGGAACATGGCAAGAATGATTATATATGAAAAAAATTGTTGAGTATTGTGTTGTCCGCTTGTATGATCAACTATGTCCGGTACACTGCCGCAGCACAATGAGACGGACAATCGCAGCTCTCAGCAACCGCTCAATAAAAGAGACTCTCAGTATTGGTTGTTTGATCCTTAGACTCGACAAGACTCTCATCCTCAATCTTTGATCACGACTCTCGGCTCACCAGACTTGACTCAAGATCACTCCAAGACCATCAAGACCTGAATCGGTATAGTCCAGCCTGATCTGTCTGCTGTACTTCTCAATCTGACCTCTCTGCATTCTTCAATACTCAAGATTCTTCCTCAACAACTTCGAGTCATCTGATTTAGGCACCTATATCATTCAGTTTCTAATAAAAATATCTGATTGTTTGTTTCCTTCTCTTTTTCTTTGTTTGTCTTTTGTTTGATGAAGAAATCACTGACCTGCTTAATTTCATCCATTGTCTGTCTCTGTTCTCATTTATCAGTCATCTATATTAAAACCTCTTCCTCTTTGTCTCTTCATCAAAAGTTATCTGATTGTTAATCCTCGTCTATCACTAGTGGTATGCTTTTATTCCTTCTCCTTTTGTTTCTTGTTTTCTTAATGTCTCTAACCCTTGTTTTTTCTTTTAGACTGGTTTTGGTTCTTAGCAATTTTATCAAGATTTCTTCAAAAATTGGAACCAAAAAAGGGTGAGCCAGGTTGGATGTCCAGATTGGATCCAAAACAGTAAATTCTAGTGCTTTACTACAATGTGAGCTGGTGAATGCCCTACTCAACAGCTAATCAAACCAACTGGTAACCATTTTTTAAAAAAAAAAATCATTCTTCCCATTGGAAATTCTTTCTTTCTTCCAGCACTCACACTCCCCCAAAATGAATATTAGAGCTTTTGGAAAAAAAAATATTTTTATTTTTTATTTTTCACAGATTTTGAAACTTTGTTTTTTGTGTTTATTTTCTCATATTCATTCTTTGGGACCTATTCTGCACCACTTCACCAATTCTTGTGACTTCAAGTTTGTGCTTTGAACCTCTGGAATCCAAAACAAGCAGCCAAAAATAATGGTCCACCCACTGTACATGCCCATTGCTGTTTGTAGTGGAAACAGTGTTGTTGAACGGTTGGTTCGGGGATTCATTCTCAACCCACTGTGGCAGAGCTGAGCACATAGAGCTGTGAGATAGACAAGGTTCAAAACCTATATCATCTGCTGGGAGGAATACAAATATGGGCTTCTTTTTGTCTAAAGTTGTTTTCTTTTTTTCGATCAGATTTTCTAGTCTTCTATTGCCTGTGTTGCTCTTTGTCTCACATCACTGTCTGTTTGCCTCAACCACCACAGATCTGTTCTTGTCTTATTTTTTTTTTCTATTCCTTCTTTCATCAGTCTTGTGTCTCTTTCTTATTTTTCATTTCTTCTCTGGTTTGCTTGTCTTAGCTCTCTTTGTTAGTCCACATTGGTTGTGTCCTAACACCTCAGCCTGGAAACCTCAGGTTAGAAATTAAATGATCATATTTTCTAGTCTTCTCTTTCCTGTGTTGCTCTTTGTCTCACATCACTCTCTATTTGCCTCAACTGACACAGGTCTGCTTGTCTTAGCTCTATTTGTTAGTCTATGTTGGTTGTGTCCTAACACCTTGGTTTGGAAACCTCAGATTCTAGGTTATTTAAGTGGAACACATGCACTAGTGTTTTTATTGATTTAGCATCATAATTTCATGGAACTCACATTAGAAGGTGTGGTTTTTTGAAACAAATTAATAGTTTTCATGGAAAACCACAAATGGTGTAGTTCCCCACCACTTTATGTGTTTTGAATAGAAAAAAAAAGAAATAAGAAACAATTTCTACCCTGAAACAAGTGGTTATCTAGCAGGAAGATTTTGCTTGAGTAGCAGTGGTGTAGCACAGAGGGGCTGTATAGAGCAATAGCTTGGTACATAGAGCCACTCATTCTACATATTTTCAAGGAAAAAGGGAGGCTACTTTTCTGTCCATTATTGACCCCATGATGCAATTAGCATAGTACCATGGCCAACTAATATCCTTTCATGAAGTGTGGCACACCTTTTCCTTGGGTTTGGATAGTCCAAGAACAACCCAGGTGACTTCTCTATAGAATGGTTGGGGGTACTCCCCACATTCAAGTGAGCATGGTCAAGCACAGGACCCAATTTCTGCCAGTTCCTGCACAAATTTGCTTGCCTTGATGGAAGGTATATTGTGCCCTTGAGAAATCCAAAGGGGATTATATTAAGTGCAAGCCTATTTTTGAGGAATGTATGCTTTTAGAAATTTTTGAGCTTACATATGGCCAACCCCAAAACCCATTTTCATTCAAAAACAGTATAAATTTAGGTGATCAGAAAAACAACTCCCATTTTGGTTGAGGGATTGTTGGGGGAGTTGTTCCTCCAAATTGATGGCCGACTTTGGGAGTCGGCCGTCCAATTATTTTTTAACTTTTTTATTTTTGGGGAGTTGGCTCCCCAAACCACCCCTCATGCTTGAGGGGGTTTGGGAGTTGCTCCCATGACTGGAAGGATTTCCTTCCAGTCAACAAGAAACAAAAAACTCATTGGCCGGAAGAGATTCCTTCCGGTTGATGAGGTGTTACACCTCATTGATCGGAAGGAATTCCCCTCAATCATGAGGGGTAGTTTGGGGCGCCGACTCCCTAAAAATAAAAAAATTGGATGGCTGACTCCCAAAGTTAGCCATTTATTTGGAGGAACAACTCCCGCCTGACAATCCCTCAAGTTAACCAAAATGGGAGTTGTGGTTTCTTTCCAACCCCCTAAATTTAAATTTTATTTACTGTTTGATTAACAAATATGTCTCAATAAATTTAGATGATTTTTTCATCATAGGCTTTGTTTGGCTGTCCACAATTTTAATAGAACATTGTCTCAAATTTTTAAATCAGAATCTAGATTTGATGATTCTAGGCTGTAAAAATGACACAGCCTGAAAATCCTTCTCAACCTTGCTGTGAGGAGTCACAATACAAAATTCTGGAATTGGCAGTGAATATATCTCACTGACCACTTCCATCATAAGAAAGTGGATATGATGTGGCCCCCCAAACACAATTGTGAGGCTCCATCATCAGCTCTGCACCCCCAAAATATTTGCCATGATTGTTTATGACAATCATGGATGGCCAAACAAAGCCAGATTGACTTCAGTGGAAAAACGTTTTAGTTGAAGTTTATCAAGAGCACAAAAGCCCTTCACTCTGAGGTCTGTTTGAATTTTTGAAGACTGAACTATAGAGATTGTAGCAATTTAGTTTGAAATCTTTTCCTATCTCCTTCTTCCCTTAAGCTGGTCTTCTTTTTTTTATCCTTGACATTTTGGCTCTTATCTACACATTTGGGTTTTCACAAATCCCTCCCTGTATTGTTGGTTGGAAAATCCTTCCAGGCTCTGCTACATAGCCATAATCATAGCACCAGGGCAGCTTATCTTAAGATAGGGATATAGCCCAAATAAGTAAGAAGTAAACCATGGTTTTAGAACCCCAACAGCTGTTGTCATCAATTTTTGTTTGCACTGATAAGGCCAGTTATTTGATTTACCTGAATGTACATTTTCTGTATTGAAGGGTGTGGATTTGAGGTGGATATGCATTGTGATTATTTCATCATTTTGGTGTGAATTGTAGACTTCTTGAATTTATTCTGTTTTTTTATTACATTTCTCACCAAGAGACTACTGGAGGACTTCCCGTTGCCATTTAGAGTGCTTTTTAAGCCCTCCCCAGTCCTAAATTAACACCTCCATCATAATTCCAACCAGCTCACATGAGAGTCTTCACAAGGCTTGTGAAAAAATAATTTTTTATACCAAAAATTAAGATCTAGGGGGTGTAAATTAAATTGCGGGAGGGTTGTAAACCGCGACAGGAAGTCATCCACTTTGATCAGCAGAATTGCGAAATGAGGAGGCTCAGAGCATGTAAGACCCAGCCAACGCGAATGTTATGTAACAACAATCACTTGGGGATCAAGGCGTTGTTCACAAGATCGTTACCTTTTTTAGCTTTCATGACGTTGAAGTTTTCCAGTAGGGTTGCTGCGTGGCCCTGCCGGTTATGCATGTACGTCACTCGTTGCAAAAGCTTTGCATTGAATTTGATCGCGCGGCGGCGCTACCGACGCACCTTCAACAGAGCTTTCTTTACCTTGCAGTATGCGCGAAGATGCAGCATACAGTATTTATGTATGGTCCTGGTGCTCATCAATCCAAAACAAGATTACCTAGCCAAATGAAGTCACTGTCTATCGTGTTCAGAGGGGGACGCCGATGCCGTCCCGGGAGTGCTCAGAGGGTACGCCCTTCCGGGAGGCTTGCTGCGGGACGGCGTCCCCTCTTCCAATGTGCACTTGAGTTAAAATGAGTTGAGGGCTTAGTGGGCATTAAGGAATTCGACCTCTATGTGTTTGCATTTTTTCTCCTTGATAACTCCCACAGATTTACAGGATTGACTAATCCGACTATGAAAAGATCTTGACAGAAGCAGCATAGATATGCAACGATGATATGAGCGTCAAGAGGATGATCGGGTCCCATCTCCGCCGGCTTGTGCTGTATGTGCCCAAACTGCGCAGGTTTACAAACTATCACTCTTCACTTGCCAGATTGAGGTTATTGCATTGGCTTTTGTTTTGAGGTCTCGAACAGCCAAATGAGGAAAATGCTTCCACCTGGATCAATTTGCTTTGTAAAACGTGAAGTCCTTGATCAACAAACCCTGATGCGGGCGCAGTGTTACAAATTCACGAAATGAAATATTTGGTTGATTACTTCCACTAGATAAGCAGTAGTATAAAAGGGGCCTTTGAACTCTGGCAGGCCAAGGGTCATGAGTTCGCCAAAATTCCTCGCATCTGTTTTTCTTTTTATCCTTCGCCTATAGCTGCCACACATAAACAATTACCGCTGGAGTCATTCCCAATACCTCAATTTAGAGCCAATTACTTTCTGAGAGATCCGCCCCGCGTACATCACCTCTAAGACAGTGCTTGCATCCAAATTCCAAATTCGCCGCTAAAGGTCAAGAAGATGGCACATGCCGATCTATGCTCCGCCATTTCCAGAGAACTTGAGGAACATATTTCAAACAAGCGGGAAATCATTCTTGATGGCCATGGCCTTACATCCACTGGAGTAGTGGGTGCAGCCAGGTAAAGTACCACGACTTATTCTTGACTCAATTCATGGTTAAATTCTTTGCTTTCCAGGTACAACGTCCAAGCTAAGATCAGCAATGATCCAGCCTTAATCACAGTGGTAGAGGAAAGCGTTGAATTTCTGGCTTCTAAACTGGATACCGCCATATACGGAGTGACCACGTAGGTATTTCCTGTGTGCAATCAAAGTAAAAAAAAATCGGAAACTGGCTCATACTTATTTTGCCCACGTGTGTTGCATGCCTCCAATTATTTTTCTTCAGCGGATTCGGAGTACGTATTCACTTCTTACCATGCCTAATATTTCTTTACTTCATACTCAGGTTCTCCGAAAGACTTGATCCAAGGCCAACAAACGCATGTAATTTTTACTTTCAGGGCTCAGCTGATACCCGCAGTGATTCGACCGCAGATCTTCAAATGGCTTTCCTCGAGCACCAAGTATCAGGTGTCCTGCCCCTGTCTTCACGTTCCACATCCGCCGGGCTCTACCTTTCAGATCCCATGAACAACGTCATGCCTGAGGCTATAACCCGTGGTGCCATTCTCATAAGGATAAATTCTCTGGTCAGGTGTGTGCGCTTGTGAAACTATCGGGGAGAAATTTTTGTAATCTGATACTTCCTCCATATCCTAGAGGTCATTCTGCCCTCCGATTTCAAGTTTTGGAAACATTGATAACCCTCTTAAATAAAAATTTAACCCCCATGGTACCACTCCGCGGATCCATCTCTGCTTCCGGGGATTTGATGCCGGTGAGCTGTGAAAGAACATAATCACATATTTATATACTGAAAACACTAACTTCGGAGCAGTTGAGCTATGTGGCTGCTGCAATCTGTGGGCATCCTGCTATAAGGATTATCGACAGGTCTTCTGCCGATGGCCATATAGAAATTATGCCGGCTTCAGATGCTCTCACTAAGCACGGCATCACTCCAATTGTACTCGGTCCCAAAGAAGGGTATCTGACTAATTTATTCTGATGAATCAGCTTGATCTTCTGGTTGAACTAACTTCGAATTTCGGCTTAGTTTGGCAATCAGTAATGGAACTGCTTTTAGTGCAAGTGCGGCTTGTCTAGTAGCACACGATTCACATATGCTGCTAATGCTTGCTCAAGGCTTAACTTCGATGACTGTGGAGGCCATGATGGGACAAGCTCAAAGTTTCGACCCGTAGGTTAAAATACCCTTTTAATATTGGCTTCCTTATCAAGTAGATTTCAAAAATATTTTTTTGTTTCACAGGTTCATTCACGAGACCTGTCGCCCCCATCCAGGTCAAGTAGAAGTGGCCAAAACCATTAGATCCATGGTATGTAACGGCACTATGTAGAAATATATTGCGCATGTAATGATTCAAAAATAAAAAAAACTCAATTGAATTCACTTAGTTTGAGGGAAGTCGATTAGTTATTCACATGGATGAAGAGAGGAGTGTAGACCAAGAAAAAGATCAAGGTATTTTGCGCCAGGATCGATATGCACTACGCACCGCCCCACAAGTTTGTCAAATCTTTTCTTTGTATCAGAATGAATTTGAACTGATTGAATCTTGCGCATTTTCTGTTTCTCAAGTGGCTAGGCCCTCAACTTGAGGAATTAGTGACTGTCAATAAAACACTCTGTCGAGAGATTAATGCTACCACAGGTGATTTTAAACGCTTAGATATAACTCCGATTTTTAGCGTTATTTATTAACTTCATTTTCATCATTATAATTATCAGATAACCCATTGATTGACATAAAAAACAAGAAGATTCTTAATGGAGGAAACTTCCAAGCAATGTCCATCACCAATTCTATGGAAAAGACAAGATCCTCTTTAGAATCGATTGGAAAGTTGAGTTTTGCTCAAGCAATCGAGCTGATGAACTGCACCATGAGCAAGGGCCTACCTTCATGTCTAGCGGGCGATGAACCTTCTACTAACTACCAGTAAGGCTTGCAAATGTTTTATATGTATTCATTTATTCAAGCTAACTCATGGATGTTTGCTACTTGTTTAGTACAAAAGGACTGGACATCAATATGGCAGCATACACGGCTGAGCTTGGATTCCTAGCCTCACCCGTTTCCACGCATGTTCAGAGTGCCGAGCAGCACAACCAATCCGTTCGTAGAACTCACTCCGTATATGGATGTTACTTTGTTTACTGGCGCTTAGCAGTGAATCTGATCGCAAAACTCACTGATCTAGGTGAACTCCTTGGCGCTGGTTTCGGCCCGCTACACTATTCAAGCTGTGGAGGTCTTATCAATGTTATTGAGGTATGTAACTGTTTTCATGTGTTTACCAGTTCGTTCAACTCGAACGCTGATGAAAATGAAATTTAGTTCACATCTCTACGTGGTGTGTATGGCCATTGATCTTCGGGTGATTGATCAAATGTTCCAAAAGGAACTGAAGGGTCTTCTCCCAGTCTTGCTTGACTCTCACTTCAAATCTCGACCAACACAAGCCGCCGATCCATTGATCGGGGCATTGGCTTCGAGACTGGAAGCCACTGCTTCTCTTGACTCTGAAGCTCGGTTTCTGAGTGCTTTCAAGCAAACTTTGCATGTCATTCTTGCTTTTCCGGTAGATTTAGAAGAAGCTCGTAGCTGGCCTTCCTTCGCCGCGTCACAATCCACACTTTTGTATAAACGCACCCGGGATCAGTATTTCGAGAATTCTGAAAGTTTCCTCGCTGAGAAGTGGTTGGGGAAGAAAAATAAACACCTCTATCACTTTGTGAGAAAGGAACTTGGAATCGGACCCAGGAGGGGTGATGTCCGCTTGGGAAGACACGAAGGTTGGTTATGTTATCTCGTCAATCCGTTCTAATTTGTGCTCATGAATCTGTTTTCTTTAGGCTCAGTGTCCATAGACGTATCCAAAATCTACGAATCTGTTCGCTCAGGGGAGTTATACAAATTCATGAACAGAATGTTCTGAAAAAGTGATCAATTGCGGCATAAAATAATTTGACTATAAGCATGCATATCTTTTATTAGTATCATAACGGAGTTGAGGATAACATTATTGAAAATAAACTAGAGAATTATCATTACCTATAAGCAGGGGAGAAGCTCAAGACACTTATTCATATGGATGATTCAGTTTATTCTGAGTGACTGATTAGGGTTCAAGACAATAAGAAAAAAGAATTTGTTTCGCCTCATGCAAAAAAGAGCATCCGCACCTCTAAGCCTACGAAGTATCTCGTTTGCTCTCTCTGTAGGCTGACTGCGTAGTCTTTCTGGAACAGCCCGGTTCACAATAGCCAGTCATCAGCAAATTTTTTCGCTGCAATCAGCAAATCATTATTACTTAAGAACACATCCATTTTTGAATGTGTAGCCCAGAGTCCCCCAGATTATTCCAGATCAATCCAAAAAAAAAAAAAATTGCTATCAGCAACTTTTAACAAGTTAATCAGCCATTGGAACTGGCTATTGTGAACCGGGCTAATATATGTTGGGGCTCTTGCCTCTCCTTTTTTGATCTACATACTATCATTGATACAAGTCTACTTGGTCTTTTCATCTCACTAAGATCCATTGGGTTGAAGTTCAAATTTTGAACATCAGAAGACAAAATTGTTAATATTTCACCTGTCAATCTCTTTCTTTCCTCTTCTTCCTCCCACATCACTCCTTTTTCACTGATCATATTCTGTCTTTTCTAATTCATTATAATCCTCTTGGTTGTAACCACAAGTTTAAACAAGTATATCTAGATTACTTAAACCTTTTAGATAGTAGTCAATGGGAAACCATCAGTTCTTACCACACTATTCCTGTGAAGACACTTTAGCCTCTTCTCAGTGTCTTATTAAGAAGAAAATGTAGCTGCTCCTATTAATTTTATAGGTTACTGTTTGGGCCTTGTCTGACTTTGTCTTTTCCAACTATTTTACCCTTCATCACCTCTAATCTTGACAAAAATTATGGTGCTGCGACTGGTTGACTTCCCAACACATTTTAGAGGAATCCAGATGTCCCTCCAAGTTCTAAATTAAGACAGAAATCAACTCCATGACCACAAAAGGTGAAAGCCATCCCCATAAGGCTCCTGAAAAAAATATTTATTTTCACTAAAAATTATGATTCAGGGTGTGTAAATTGAATCCTGCAAGGGCCATCAATCCAACAGTAAGTCCTTCATTCACTGTTTACCCCTCCCCCCCCCCCAAGTGAGCATTCTCGATGACCCCTCAGACTAGTCTGAAAGCATGTAATTGCATTTTGCTATCCTGAACATCTTACTTGTAATTCTGTGGAACTATTATCCAGTATAAGTAAGAGATTTGTGAAGAGATTGTTTTTGCACTTGAAATTGACATGGTTAAACACCCAACTCGTAGGAAACACACAGCGCCCCAGCTTGCCCTAGCTTATCACAAGCCCCTCAATCAGAAGTGTTTATAGGGTCCCTCAATCAGAAGTGTTTATAGAACCCCTCAATCAGAAGTGTTTATAGGGTGGAGAATGGGCTTGGGTAGCCCCAAACCCACAAGCCCAACGTGGGTTTGGGGACCTTTTGGCAAGATTGGTAGCCCAAGTGTTCCAGAGCAAGGGAGGACTTCCACTTGCCATTCAGAGTGCTTTTTAAGCCCCTCTAAGTCTTAAACTAACACCACAATCAAAATTAAACACAGCTCACATGAGAGCCATCACCACACAGCTTCTGATTTTTCTTAACCAATAATTAAGATCTAAGGGGTGTGAATTGAATTTGAGTAGGGTTGTGGATTGTGTCAGGAAGTCATCCAATGGAGGACTTCATGTCACGATTTAGAGTGCTATTTAGAAATCTCTAAGTCCTAAATTAACAACACAATCAAGATTACAACCACAGCTGGTGATGTGCCCATCTTGGCATTTGGGTCAGCCCAATAAATCTCACTCTGGCTTGTGACCTCTCTTTAATTGTGCTACTCTGCAGCAAATCACAATTCCTAAAAAGGTGTCATTGTATTATATTACATGCCAACTTGCAGCAGTTCACCAAGTTTTTTTTTTTGCCGTAAGGGCATCCACTTTTTCAAGAGAAAGGTTGGATGGTAATGCAGGGAACTTTCCCACCCCCAGAAAATTTCAAGCTCTCAAGCCAAAAAAAAAAATGACTCATGCATAAGCCCTTCTTTCAGAAGCTTGCTTTCACAGGTCTTTCTGATTGCCTAGGGGCTTGTGTTGAGCTACATAGTAACATGGTGACTTGCAGCTCTTGTGCCAGCCCAAGATGCCTGGAAGGTTTGGAGGCATCACGAACTTTGTCAAATGTGGCATTGCCAATCCTGATAGCAAGGTTTGCCTCGGTTTTTTGCTCCTTTTTTGAAGTGCAGTTTGGATTCAACATTGCATCCCAACCCCTCAAGGTGTGTATCTTCTCTATTTTTTTGTTTTTCTGGGTAAATCCAGTTTTGCCAAAATTGGCAGTCATTCAATTTTGTGAGGTTGTGGATGTGCCAAGGAAATTACCTAGTCAGCAATCTCACAACGCTTGAAACTTAAAACCCAGGCGTAACATGTAGGTGCCCCTTGATTGCTGACAGTGTGACAACTGGTTGTTGATGGCTGCTTGGTCTGAACTGTCCTTTTTGTCAGTAATCAACTGAAGTTAGTATGGTTTCTTTCGATCAATGTGAAGAGTTCTGTCATTAATCTTGGAGAGGAGTGTAGAAATGAGTCATGAGACCGAGGCCTGTGAACAGCCTGTTGACTGGATTACAAAAGCCAGGCGGTCTCCGCAATATTGGAAGGGGCCATCTTTTAATGAGAGTCCTGCATGCAAAGCTTCAAAGATGAATTCGCCGGTCATCTCACTCAAGAAATTCAGATCGACAATCTTCAACAACAGTCCAACCAACACGGCCAAGAACAACGAACCACTCACGAGCAGTACTCACGACCGGCTGACTAAGAACGACCGGCTGACTAAGGACGACCGGCTGACCAAGAACGACCGGCTTACTGTTGATACTTCGAGCTCATCCAAGATCATTTCGTCATCAGCCGGTTTCACGATCTCCTCATCAGCCTCTTCGTCAGCCTCCTCCTTCGTCTCAGCCTCCACCAACCAATCCAACCCAGACCACAATCAGCCACCAGCACCAAACCATCATCTCCCAAACGGGGCCGGATTCAGGAACCCATGGCCATCAGCCAACTCCAATCAATCTTACCACTTAGTCAACCTCATCAACAACGGAATCCCACTCCAACTGGCCAAGAAACTCTCAACCGACCTCAAACCGGTTCGCACCCTCCCCGCCGATCTCAAGCTCTACGCCAACCAAAACCAAGCACCATCATCATCCCCTCTTTCTAACACATTAGTCTCCACTTGGCTTGGCCATGCAGTCAGTAATCCACTCTCATCAATCTATGCTCTCCACAGGATACTCATCTCTTTCTCTAATCAATAATAAAATTCCATATCCAGGGCTATCTCGTCCAATTTCCAATGCTATCTAGAGCCACCTCTAATCAGAAGCGACGACCGTTCAGGATCCTATTTGACCCGATGTTCTCAATCCGGGCGGGGCCGACCCAATGGACAGGGCCCAAGAGATTGAAACCAAGCCCATGTCACATCAAACAAATTCCGACGGTTGATATCTGTTTCATCTCCCATTCTCAGTTAGTTTTCCTTCTTCTATCTTGACGTCCAACTATAGACCTTTTTGTTAATTGTTGTGATGTTTGTGTGAAGTTACGACCATCTAGACTATGATACTATCCAAGAACTCTCCCAACGACAGCCCCATCTGCAATATTTCGTCCCACTAGGTGAATAACCTAAGAATAGCCTAATTGAGGTGCTAAGATAGCAAAGCCATCCAGATTCTGACGATCAAATAAGCGCTTTTTCTTAGGCTTGAAAGCATGGTTCGATTGTGTGTCGGTGCCATCGGACCAAGTAGTCGAGCTGGATTGGTGGCAATCGCGAGACTGGGACCCTGCCGTGGTCCGGAGCTCCCAACAGGCGACGCCGGTGGATCGGGCGAGCACACCCGTCTTGCCAGACCGTGCCAGTTCCTCGATCCGGATAACCTGTGTTCCTGCCCAACATTCAAGTGGTCCGTCCTTGCCACGTGCGCTACCCGAAATGCGTGTCACTGACCCGCCTATTGATCTTCAGGTCGGTCTTTGATGGACCAGAATACATCCCTCTGGTGCGGATGGATCGTCGAGCAGATCGACCCTGGCTCCCCGCCCTCCATCCCTCAAGTAACTCATTCTTCTTCTCCCAAGTTCGTCCCCCTGCTGCCCTTGCCATCTGCAACTACCATCACCTCTTCCTCCCCACATCAACCATCATCCGCCGACCATCGTGATCGCCGGAAATGTTGTGTTTATTTTGCAGGGTCGGTCTGACTTCTATATCTTCATGCTAGTGATCAGGTCAGATGGTGTGAGTGCTTATGTGCTGATGATAGCGTTTTCTGGCTCGCTGCGATGCAACAGGATACTGGCTACCGGAGCAACACGACCGGAGACTAATATGTCCCGCATTCAAGG